CTTAAGATAGTTACCTTCTCACAGTTACCATATCATCAATGGAAACTCGAGCATGTCTTCGTTGAAGAGCACTCAAAGCAATAGTTCCATCTTGTATCCTCTCGTGTCCAGTATATAAACAGTTTAGTTCAGTAACAAATCCGACCAAACAAAGGGAACAAGTACCGTAACATACGACAAAAACAAGAGTCATGATCAAAAGTTACAAACCAATGTAACCTTTGAAGATGGCATTGTAAAAGGATATGAGAAGGAGAGAATGAAGACGTCGGAGACGTTTCCGAGGAAGAGATCGGTTCCGGGAACAGAGAACTGACGGAGATCCGAGACAGAGCAATAAGCTAAGTTGGTGAAAGCTAACTCTGTCGCCGGAGTTTTCGTCACTTTCATGGAAGACTGTGATTCCGACATGATTGTTTCGGCCAGAGAAAATTCGTGAAGAAGAATAAACGACCAATTTTTGTTAAGAAGAATAAACGATATTGAGATACTTACGTGGAAATTACCTTAGAACAAATCATTTATCCAATAATAAAATGACACGTGGATTTTTATTTAATTAAAATTTGTCAAAAGACAATAGTACGGTCCGGCCATAGCACGAGTCAAAAACCAGAAACTTGTAATAGATGGAGAAGTCAATCTACCACGTCATGTTAGCCGTGTGGCATGACATCATAATTTTTTTTTTTTTTGTCACGAACACACTTCGTTCATAACTTATCCAAATACATGAATATCCAGAAACCAGTAAGGGACGGCAGTGCTAATATGTGAAAAAAGTAAATTTCTCTGTCGGGCATGTCGGACTAACAGATCTGCCCTGGCATTTTTCTCCCTTGGACAATACTATATGGTACAGTCTGGGAAAAACACCCGTAGTGTCTGTACTTCATCGAGTTTCGCCTGAAACCGCGGCCAGTGCGCAGGTTCCGTTACCATGTTAATCAACTCCTGCGAATCTGTAAGGAACAAAGTACAAAATCTGCGTCTTTTTCGCAAACTCGTCATTGCCCATAGTAAGCTTTAGAGCTCCGTATGTAGAGGGGATAAACTTCGTCGTATACCTCGCAGACCTAGAAGGTCTATCTCTCCATCCTGAAGCTGCAATGTCCATCCAATACCCCATGTGGGGTCCCCATATTTCCATGATCCATTCAGATAGCATGCAAACATATCTTGTGGCACTATATGGGTAGTTGGAAGATGGCGATTCGTTATTGCAGTTTCCGGGGGTGTATTCGCTAAAAACCAGGCTGCAACATCTTTTCTTGCCAACTCAAGGGTGTCCTGTGGAGATCGGTTGTAG